AACCGCTCCGTATCCGCCCCCCTCTGCAAATCCCTCCACTGGCTTCCGATTGCCCAATGGATAAAATTCAAAATGCTAACACTGACGTACAAAGCTGTCCATAACACTGCCCCAAACTACATCACCGACCTGATATCCAAATAACACCCTAAATGTACTCTCCGCTCCTCACAAGACCTCCTTCTCACTAGTTCCCTGGTCTCCTCCTCCCATGCCCGTCTCCAGGACTTCTCCAGGGCTTCCTCCCTCCTCTGGAACTCCCTACCCCAATCCATCAGACTATCACCTACTCTCCTCTTCTTTAGGCGCACCCTGAAAACCCATCTCTTCAGGGAAGCCTACCCTGCCCTCAGCTAATTGCCGATCTCCTCCACTCCTCCTACCACTCCATCCCTCACAGCTATTCCTCCCGTACCACTATCCCCTCCCTCCTAGATTGTAAGCTCCAAGGAGCAGGGCCCTTGAACCCCTCGTGTATCGCATTGTATTGTTATTGTACTGTCTCGTGTATTGTCTCCCATTGTAATGTACAGCGCTGAGCGAACTGTTGGCGCTATATAAATACTCTATAATATATATATATTACCACTGTCTGACCAAGACGTCCATGGACGTCCTTGAATTTCAGTGGTTATACCTGGATGATTCTTGCAGACTGCAATGCTTTGTAGGCTGAAGTGATCAAGTGGCTGAATAGCCACTCAATCACTTCTGTGTGCATCCAGCTGCCGCCAGGAGCCTGGGAGCACTGCGACTGGTGGCAACTGCAGCACTACAGAGAGAGAGGATCTGATGTTGTGATGTTCCCTCTGTGACCCTGGAACCTGGAAGTGAGGTGGATTTCGGCATTTCCAGTTTCAGCTCTTTGTTTACACACATATATGTGTGTGTGTGTATATATATATATATATATATATATATATATATATATATACGCATGGAGAACCTTATGCTGCTTGTAACATCATTCAGCATGACCTTTTTGGCGGTGGATCAGTGATGGTCTGGGGAGGTATATCCATGGAAGGACACACAGACCTCTACAGGCTAGACAATGGCACCCTGACTACCATTAGGTATCGGGATCAAATCCTTGGACCCATTTTCAGACCCTACGCTGGTGCAGTGGGTCCTGGGTTCCTCCTGGTGCATAGCAATGCCTGGCTTCATGTGGTGAGAGTTTGCAGGCAGTTCCTGGAGGATGAAGAAATTGATACCACTGAATGGCACCCATGCTTGCCTGACCTAAATCCAATAGAACACTTCTGGGATATCATGTTTCGGTCCATCCAACACCGCCAGGTTGCACCTCAGACTGTCCAGGAGCTCAATGATGCCCTGGTTCAGATCTGGAAGGAAATACCCCAGGACACCATCCGTCGTCTCATTAGGAGCATGCCCCGACATTGTCAGGCATGTATACAAGCACATGGAGGCCATACAAACTACTGAGTACCATTTTGAGTTGCTGCAATAAAATTTCAGCAAAATGGACTAGCCTGCGCCCTGCGGCATTACTTTTTCACTTTGATTTTCGGGGTGTCTTTTGAATTCAGTCCTCTGTAGGTTAATAATTTTTATTTCCATCAGACAATGAGGCATCCTTACATTCCTAACACATTACCCAGTCCATATCACAATAGATATCCAGCATGATATTTTTCCCTATTGAGATCTGCTGTGTTTTCCTTTAATTTTTTTGAGCGATGTATACAATGTTTGGGAGTTCTAAGTAATTTTCTAGCAAACAAAAGTAGATTTTTAATGTATGTAAGAAGTGTCAGAATTGGCCTGATAGGGAAGTGATTCATTGATTAGCAGAGCAAATAATAAGTTAATTATTATATTGTACCACTAAATACTGCTTGTTAACAATTTAAAAATGTAGCTGTAACCATTTTCCTTTAACCAAATTTCCTTTACCCATACAGTATATATTTTAATGTAAAAGTAAAAAAAAACAATAGATAAATACATATTAACCACATGCTGTTTTTGTACCAGGACAAAAAACTTTCAAAATGTATTTTGCAATATTGTCTGGCCATTTTTGTGAAAAACATACCTCTGCTAGTCAATATGGCCACTATGTAGCCGACAAGTTTAGATATTCTACTTCCTGGGTCAGCTCACTGTTAACTGGACAAATGTGAAGATACTGATTCGCTATCCAATGAGGAGCTTGAAGGTGGTGGAGTGTCATAGAAAACTGAATAGCTGAAACAGGAAACTACTGGTAAATTGCTTATAAGGGAAATATGTGCGTCACCTGATTGGTTGTTTAGTGTGAAAAATATGTGTGAATTACAAAATTGGCTGTACAGAATTACAAATGCTTTGACAGTGCAAAGAATAAACATATTTATTTCAACTGTGTATTATACTGCTTGCCTGGAGTGTCACTTTAATACTGTGTCATGGCAGATAAAGCCAAGCATTGATGGTTACAGAGCTGTTTGGCAGGAAAATAAATTGGAAAACCTTTTGAAATTTCCGAGGGATAAGTTATATCTTCTGTTTTTCTTTAATAATACATGTTTTCCAAGTTTTGTTTGCAAGAAAAGCCATTTTGTACAGTACAGCTGGCAATTATACTCTGCATTACATCATGCAGTGTACTTGATCCAAACAAATGCTTTTCTCACAATAAACTGTATGAACAGAATAAAGTTTTCTTTCTTTTTTATTTTTCGTTTTAGATATTATTTTAAAATCCAAGCAAAGAATCCACATGGTTTGGGACCCATGAGCCCTTCGGTGACATTTGTAACAGAATCAGGTATGATTGCAGTTAATTATAGTAATTGTTTTTATATATAGTTGACAGATTCCTACATTATTTTGTCAGAAAACAAAGAAGAAAATTGCCTGTGGCGTTGGTTCACGGATCAGGTGCTGTTTATGAACTCAGTGAAACAAATCACTGCTAGTGTTTGAGTAACAACATGGTCTACTCATTGACTAAACCTTGTAACAACTTAAAAGTAAACACATATGATCCAATGTAACAAATACTTCATACTGCGAAATTTGAGAATAAACAAATTCCTGGAGGTAAGGCTGTATAACTAGATATATATACATACACTAATGGGACCAGGTTGCTGACTCCAATCTGGCTTGGGAGGACTGATATCTGAAATGAATAAATGGGGAAGGGGAGAGAGGCACCCAAGGAACCAACATAGTGTATTATGTCATTTTGTTAAAAAGATCATTAAAATCATATAATATTGGCTTGATCCACTGGGAGATGGATGGAGAGAGGCAGCCACTGGAGGTGCAGAGAGGATGGGCACCCTAGAGAGCGGGATGCAAAGCCAGGAGAGTAGAAAAGTGCAAGAGATATATAAGTGGTAAAAAATTGTGTGCTGCCAAATAATTAAATAAATGGTGAAACAATTGTGAACACGAGCTCCTGCAAACACATAAAGTGTGTGTTCATCACATGTGAAATAATATAACCAATGAATAGTTCTGCGCTGCTCAAAGACACTCAAAAACTAAACATAATATACATATAAATCCAAGAACCATGTAAAAATACTCAATAATATAAGTCCAAAAGGAAAAAAGAAGGAAAATCTCTTCAATAATGTAGGTGGGAAGAACATATTTCTACTTGAGAGTAAGCCCACAATCCTGGTGCTGTAAATCTTTAAATGATGTGCATCACCACGGTGACCATATGAAATGTGTGGACCAGGGGCGGACTGACCATTTAGAATCTCGGGCACTAACCTAGGGCCGGGGTCAGTAGGGGGCCCCATGAGATTCCCCTGGTACCTTTTTTCATAGGCTTTTTTGAGTTTAGGCAAGGACACAGGGGCCCCATGATCCCCTATTGCCCGAGGGCAACATGAGTTGTCAGTCCGCCCCTGGTGTGGACCCTCACCTTCTTGGATGGACCCATATAGAAAACAGGTCAAACGGGCATCTCCCCTTCTAATAGTGGTCTCTCCTCTGTGGATAATCCGCCTTTCATATATGGTCACTGTATCCTCCAAGTAAACCCTTTAATGGTATAGCTGGCTCTGTGTGTGGGTAGAACTCACAAACATATAAAGCGACCATAGTGCAGCACGTTTCTTAAAATCTCATAAAGTTTATTAAAAATGCACTCACATGTTACAGTAGTAAAAAAACACAGTGTGACAAAAGCTGTGAAGCTGTGATATAGACTATGCAGTTTCTCTGACCGTACTAAGTGTTCCGGCTCTGATGTCACCTGGCTCCTCCCCCCGTGTGTATCGTCAAGAACCATGTGACTTCATCAGGGGTATTGAGGATGGATTAGCATCAGTCTGTCCTCCTCCAGATGGCTGTCAGTGCAAGAGCTCCAGCCGCTCTGTGCACTAGTGAATCAGTGGATCAGGGAATCGCTGGTACCAAAGCTTCACTGGAAAGGATTGCTGTGCGGGAAAGGATGAGCAGTCTGGTATTACCGAGGGAGTAAGTGTGTGTGACTCTAGGGAACGTGTTTTCGGAAGAACAACAAACTTCCTTCATCCTTCATCAACCTCTACATTATTTTGTCCAATTCAAGTTCATTTTTCAATATTGTGGGTGTGTGTTTAACTGAAAATTAATTTTAAAGCAAGTACAGTATTTTATTTTTCTAAATATTTATATACATATTTTGTCAAAATGTTAAAATAGCATGCATTTACCTTTTTAAAGATACTTTACAAATTAGACATTCATTTATAATTTCTGCTAATGTACTCAAAACTTTTTTTTCTCCTTAGCTTTCAAAACAAAAAAACTGTTTTTCCCCTTAGCTTTCAAACAAATAAATAAGGTTAAGTATTGAGATTTTGGTTTTAAAGGGGACCTTCACCCATGAATTTGACTTCCGCCCTCCCTCCTATCCCCCCCTTCCCGCCAGAACACTCCACTCAGCACTCTCAGCCATTGGCTGAGCAGCCATGTAAAATTTTTATTTCATTATGGTTACTCATCTTTTTATAATTTCTACTTTTTCTCCTACAGATAATCCATTGCTCATCGTTAGACCCCCAGGTAAGTTTTATGCATGAATTAACAGGGATAATACCCAGTGGCTAAAATAACTTGATTATTTGAATATTAGAGGAAGTCTATCATAGTATAAAATATAGACACAACTGATGCAAAATTCCTTCTAAAAAGGCTAGTAGTAGTTCGACCTGAACTTTTTGTTTACTGTTGAAGACATTTTACCCCTTATCTAAGTAACTTCTTGAACTCTGAGTGTCAGGAACAAACCATAACAATTTTGCAAATGCTGTCTGCCTGACTTGTATGATAACTCTGTAAGCATCCATATTATCCAAGTCACTGATGAAAAACATGCATGCAAATCAGAAATCATCTGATCATTATGACAGGCAGGCAAAATACATTTTCAGAATAAGAGGTCTGCAATGGAAGCTTCCAGGTTCCTCTGATGATAGATTTAAGTAGCATGTGTACTTGAATTGTGACAACCAGAATATCATGACAATGTAACTTTTCTTTGAAGGTGGTGAACCCATTTGGATTCCATATGCATTCAAACATGACTCAAGTTATAGTGGCTGTCAAGGAAAACAATATGTCAAACGCACATGGTACCGAAAGTTTGTTGGGGTCATGCTCTGCAATTCTTTGCGATATAAGATTTATCTCAGTGAAAATCTAAGAGGTAAGACTGTTTATTTACAAAAGATTTATTTTCATCGTTAATGGACATAAAAGCCAAGTGTTGCTATAATTTTTTGGAGTAATCATCTAAAGCTGAACTTTAAGAAGGAAAAATGAATGCATCTCTGTAGTCTTCAATAAATCATTTAAAATATTTCCAAATGCAAAGCATCTATATATGATTTGATATCAGTCTCTTTCAATCCCCTGTACTGCAACACTCAGATTGGAAGAATACTGAAATCAACCAAATGGGTGCTCTACATGCAAATCGGGGAGCACACAAGGTCAATTACCCTGAAAATAGCACAACCAATAAACCTACAATGGATGTCTCAACCCCAAAGCCATAGCTAAAAACAAACTATATACTGTATAGGTAACCTAACAATAAACAAAGTAGCCCAAATGCAGGAAAGAAAATGGCATACATCTTTATTTTATCAAATAAAACACACCTACAATTGTGTAAAAATGTTCAGTCCCTGGGGACTTGGCTAGTTACATTTTAACAAATACCCCCATATCTAACTATTCGTGCTGGAGGTCAGTGGACACATTTATGCTGCAGCTGTGGTTGTTGTGCACCACAATAATGGACATATTTTATTTTATGCTCTAAATGTTATAATGTATAACCTTCCCAAAGGGCAAACCATGTCAGATTATCACACTGCACAACCCAACATTTATATATATATCTGTATTGCACACATGAAAATTGGCAATAATGTGCTTACATGTAGAATCCATATACAATGGTAAATAACATAGCATAGTCCCATGAGTAAATACACCTCAATATTCTAAATACGTGAAACCCCCCACACAATCACCACATAAAAGAAAGTGACACTTTCCCCCTTGAAAGTTAACAAAATGATATAAGACTTTCCTTCACCTCACTCCCCAAATCCAAATAAATAATCCAAGTACTCCCCAACTACCTAACAAAATATTATAAATCTCCCAAATCAATTAAATAATATATAAATATTAAATGAAAATAAAATTAATATAATATAAAATATAAAATAAATGTCCAAATATATAAAAGTCCAAAACAAACGTTCACCAACACCATACAAATCCAGTAAGTTGAATTTCCAATTCCTCTTCCAATTCTCATGATACCTCGAAAAAAGAATACTATAATAGTGTATTACCTTCTAAATAACAAATTAACAGTATGTAAATGTATCAGTGCAACCAATAAATAAGTGCACCAAAATAAAAAACCAATACAACTGTGAATATTACGTGAATCATGCGATCAGTGAAAATATAACAATGCATGAAATTAAAGAAAAAAAAAAATATAACCAAAAATATAAATAAATTCAAAGATCATCAACTACAGTACATCAGTGAAACAAATAAGATATGTAAGTGAACACTTCAATTCATATAGTGAGCACTCTGTGACCACCTCCAAATAGTGATATTAAATACCATTACCCTCAGGTAGTATTCACAAGCTTATCTCGATATTCTTGGTAAATGTACTACTTCCAAGCTTTCATTTACTTCATAAGCCAATCCTCCATATTGCTCATAAAGCAAAGGAGACTCATGTAATAGGTATTCCAAGTATAAGGACAATTTAATAAAATATTTTACATTGGGGTATAATAATTGCAGCTATGTGGCAAACAAACCAGCCTTGAAGTCCTTAGGGTATGGAAATGTTTTCCAGCAATCAAAATGGTCATGGCGACACTTCCGGTTTTGCGTGCAAGAGTCAGACGTCACGTCTCTAACGCGTTTTGTCACTTCCGGACTTCATCTGAAGGGATTTTATATATTTGGACATTTATTTTATATTTTATTTTATATTATATTTATTTTATTTTCATTTAATATTTTATATATTATTTAATTGATTTGGGAGATTTATAATATATTGTTAGGTAGTTGGGGGAGTACTTGGATTATTTATTTGGATTTGGGGAGTGAGGTGAAGGAAAGGCTTATATCATTATAGCATAGTCCCAGTTATACCTGCAAAACTGGCATATTGTGCTGGATGGTACACAGCTGCAAATAAATACACAGCCACTACAATAACTAAGTGTTCAATCACAAACTGGAGTGCAGTTGAGTGAGATTGCATGTGGATGGATAACCATCACAATGGTTGGTGATCCACGCTGATATTGAAATGGGTAGGTAAACGTTCCAGATCCACTATGGTTTCTCTTGTTGGAATTCTCAGAATAAATGGATATCCTTCAGTCTGGAAAGATTAATGTGTCCTGACTGCTGATGGAAATGAGACCAAAGCTTAACTGGGGACCAGCTCTGCAAATCCAGCTAACTTGATGATGAAATTATGATATACTATGCATGAGTGGTGTTCTTTGGATGCAACTCAGCATTCTCTCTCCTCCAAACACGACGAGTTGTGTTTCTACCAAACAGTTCTATTTTGGTTTCATCTGACCATATAACATTCTCCCAATCCTCTTCTGGATCATCCAAATGCTCTCTAGCAAACTTCAGACGGGCCCGGACATGTACTGGCTTAAGCAGGGGGACACGTCTGGCACTGCAGGATCTGAGTCCCTGGCGGTGTAGTGTGTTACTGATGGTACCCTTTGTTACATTGGTCCCAGCTCTCTGCAGGTCATTCACTCCCCCCGCATGGTCCTTGGACTTTTGCTCACTGTTCTTGTGATCATTTTGAACCCACGGGGTGAGATCTTGGAGCCCCAGATCGAGGGAGATTATCAGTGGTCTTGTATGTCCTCCATTTTCTAATTATTTCTCCTACAGTTGATTTGTTCACACCAAGCTCCTTGCCTATTGCAGATTCAGTCTTCCCAGCCTGGTGCAGGTCTACAGTTTTGTTTCTGCTGTCCTTCGACAGCTCTTTGGTCTTCACCATAGTGGAGTTTGGAGTTTGACTGTTTGAGGTTGTGGACAGGTGTCTTTTATACTGATAACAAGTTCAAACAGGTGCCATTGATACAGGTAATGCGTGCAGGACAGAGGAGCCTCTTAAAGAAAAAGGTACAGGTCTGTGAGAGCCAGAAATCTTGCTTGTTTGTAGGTGACCAAATACTTATTTTCCACCATAATTTGCAAATAAATTCTTTCCAAATAAGCCAATGTGATTATCTGGATTTTTTTTCTCATTTTATCTCTCATAGTTGAGGTCTACCTATGATGCCAATTACAGACCTCTCTCATCTTTTTAAGTGGGAGAACTTGCACAATTGGTGGCTGACTAAGTACTTTTTTGCCCCACTGTATATCTGAATGTTCTTGTGTGCTGTTGAATCTCAGTATTAACTAATCCCCAATTGATTTAATGAAATAATGATATTTGTCACAGCATTACAGCCCCAAAAGGAATAAATAAAAGGACTTGATCCTTTAACAGAACAATAAAAGTGCAACAGACAGCATTACAGCAGTCAGGAAATAAAGTAAACCCGCGCCACAGAAAACTCAAAACCTCAATAAATAAATGCTGCTGCTCATAGATGGAAGAGACATCAATAAATATGTACAAAAAAGGGTATATATATATAAAAAATAAAAATATTATATATAAACAAAGTCCGGAAGTCCCAAATCAGTAGTTAGAATTGTGCTCCAATCAGAACACAATGCTCAAAAAACTCTCCAATGTGCCCACACCATGGTGTGGACATGTTGGAGAGTTTTTCTGAGCACTGTCTTCTGATTGGGGCACTACAGCAGTCATGGCCATATAAGAATGAATCACACTAGAACCCTGGTGTTGTCTCCCAATGCAATCAGGTGACAGACTCAAATGAGAATGTTAAAATATGCCTGTGCCTTGGGACTTACAAAGTTGCAAGATGGTCACAAACACCTACTGCATATGTGTGATATGAATTCACCTCTGTCAATGACTGTATACTGTATGCTTCTATAGTGATTATAATACTCATAGCCCCTACTGGCACCTCAATCATGATGCCAGTAGTGCTACAACAGGCTCATTGCAGACAGTAAATTATAGGTGCATGCTAAAGTCCCAGAATAAGCAGTCAGGGTACCACAAACAAGTAGCTGAGTGTGTTGAAATAAAATCTCCCATGTGGCGTACTTATGACGTACTACTAAAAAAAGCTTCACTTTTTCTCTGTCAATGCCTACAATGACATTTTCTTAAATTAATAATTTATTATCTGGTTTCGGGAATGGGAGGAGATATAACGTTTGTATTTCCTGAAAGCAGATATTATTTCCACACTTACAAATCACAATAATATTTTAGAAGATTTTACAGCATTCTCTTGATATTTAATCTGATTGCCCTCACCTTTAAGAAAGAAATATAGTATGTATTATATAAAATTGTGAATGTAAAAGATAAATGAAATGAAAAGGTGTGTTAACTAATTTGCATCAAATCACAATGATCCTTTATTCCTATAGAAATAAGTACTGTCGTAATTAATTCATTTATAATTCTATAGCATTTTTCCCCCTGGGGACTCGTGTACAATGACGCAGCCATCTTGAGTTCATGCAGTAGAATAATCATACCTTTAGCCACTTTTAGAAAGGAATCAATTAACCTAGAAACATGTATTTGGAGTGTGGGGGGAAACTGGTGCACATGAAGGGAAACCCATGCAAGTATAAGTAAATTCAATGCAGATGGTGTCCTGACTAGGGCCTGAACCAAGAACCCCAGTGCTTCAAGGCAGAATTGCTAACCACTATGAGACATACTGTACATACCAACATCAATCAAGCCACTGTTCACTCTCTGATGATAAGCATTTTGTATTCTCATTCCCCTGTTTGCTTCTTTTGTTTGCCCTCTCATTAACATCAGTTGTGTCTGTTTTATTACCAGCTGACCCATAAATATCCGACTCATTACCAATCCTGTCAACATAATCTTTCTTTTCTTTTTAAGACACATTTTACAGTATAGGTGACAGCTGGGGGGAGAGGAGAGGATCACTGTCAGTTTGTGGATTCCTATATGGAAGGAAGAACAGATCCTCTCTCTGAATTCCTGCCAACAACTAAAGGTGAGTGACATCACAGTCTCAACTTACATGTATGCATTTCCAAATAAATGACAAAGAGAAAAAAGGGATTTATTTCTCAGCACATGCCATACAAAGGTCTCTTTTATTCTTTATATTATAAAATGGGATATAGCACCCACAATATCCATGGGTAAAAAGTGTTAAAATTCATATATTAAAGACATTTCATCCAGTTTATACAGCAGCCAATAAATTTCATATATTATTTAAATGTATGATTATTCATGTGTGAAATAACATTCAGAATTACTGTAAATATTCACTTACATTTTATTATTTTACATGTATATGTTTTTAAACTATATATACACACATTATATTGCCAAAAGTATTGGGACACCCCTCTACATCATTTTATTCAGGTGTTCCAATCACCTCCATGGCCACAGGTGTATAAAATCAAGCACCTAGGCATGCAGACTGCTTCTACAAACATTTGTGAAAAAATGCAGGCCATAGATGGGTCGAAAAAACAGCAGATTTTTCTTTTAAAAAACGAAAAAATCGGTCGTTCAAGCGGCCGACGTTACCATCAATGGTAAAAAAAAAAATCGGCCGATTTTCATCCCTTCTACAGCTGGCAAAAAGTGTCCCTGCAGAGAGCTCCGCTATATCTTTGACAGTTCTCTGACAGTTCCTTGACATTTATAGAGGTTGCAACAATGTATCTATTTGTTTCCATTTAGGATACAGATGTTTTTATTCGGAAACAAATAGATACAATCTTGCAACCGCTGTAAATGTCAAGGAACTGTCAGAGAACTGTCAAAGAAATAGCGGAGCTCTCTGCAGGGACACTTTTTGCTGGACTGGAATTCCTCTTATTTTCATCCTACTTCTTCTTCTTCATCATCCTCATCCTCTTCTTCTTCTTCATCCTCATCCTCTTCTTCTTCTTCTTCATCCTCGTCCTCTTCTTCTTCTTCATCATCATCATCATCCTCATCCTCTTCTTCTTCATCCTCATCCTCTTCTTCTTCATCATCATCCTCATCCTCGTTTTCTTCTTCATCATCATCCTCATCCTCTTCTTCTTCTTCTTCTTCTTCTTCTTCTTCTTCTTCATCCTCATCCTCTTCTTCTTCTTCTTCATCCTCATCCTCATCCTCATCCTCTTCTTCTCCTTCTTCTTCTTCTTCATCATCCTCATCCGCATCCTCTTCTTCTTCATCCTCATCCTCTTCTTCTTCTTCATCCTCTTCTTCTTCCTCTTCTTCTTCATCCTCTTCCTCTTCTTCTTTTTCTTCTTTTTGTCTTCCTCTTGCAGGTCACTGCTCATGCGCAGATTTTTTATCGGTAAAAAATCGGCCGATTTGCCCACTAATTGCCGCGAAAATCGGCCGATCGGCAAAATCGGACGATTTTTTTTCCAACTTTACCAAAAAAAAAAAAACGGCCAAAATACCGAAGAACGGCCGAACAAATAGCCCACTAACGATCCGAAAATCGGCCGATTTTATTTTCGGCTGAAAAATCGGCCGATTTTCGACCCATCTATGGCCTGCATAAGTTGCTCTCAGGAACTCAGTGAACTCAAGCGTGGTACTGTGATAGGTTGCCACCTGTGCAATAGGTTCATCCATGAAATTTCCTTGCTACCAAATATTCCACAGTCAACTGCTAGTTGTATTAAAACAAACTGGAAGCAACTGGGAACAACATCAACTCAGCTGCGAAATGGTAGGCCACTAATGACAGAACGGGGTCAGAGCATGCTGAAGCACATGGTGTGCAGAAGTCACCAACTGTCTGCAGAGTCAGTGGCTAAAGACCTCCAAACTTCGTGTGGCCTTCAGATTAGCACAACAACAATGCATAGAGAGCTTCATAGATTTTATTTCCATGGCCGAGCAGCTGCATCCAAGCCTTACATCACCAAGTGCAATGCAAAGCATCGGATGCAGTGGTGTAAAGCATGCCACCACTGGACTCTACAGCAGTGAAGACATGTTCTTTGGAGTGACAAATCACACTTCTCTGTCTGGAAATCTGATGGGGTGTGTCTTGGTTTGGCGGTTGCCAGGAAAATGGTACGTGCCTGACTGCATTGTGCCAAGTGCAAATTTTGGTGGAGGGGGGGATTATAGTGTGGGGTTGTTTATCAGGGGTTAAGCTTGACCTCTTAGTTCCAGTGAAAGGAACTCATATTATTATTATTATACAGGATTTATATAGCGCCAACAGTTTGTTCAGCGCTTTACAATGGAACGGGAGACAATACAGCAGCAATACAGTTCAATACAAGAGGGAAAGGAGGGCCCTGCTCCTTGGAGCTTACAATCTAGGAGCCAGCATACCAAGACATTGTGGACAATTTCATGCTCCCAACTTTGTAGGAACAGTCTGGGGATGGCCCCTTCCGGTTCCAACATGACTGCACACCAGTGCACAAAGAAAGGTCCATAAAGACATGGATGAGCATGTTTTTGGTGGAGGAACTTGATTGGGCTGCACATAGTGCTGAACTCAACCCGATAGAATGCAATGAATTAGACTTGAGCCAGGCCTTTTCGTCCGACATCCATGTCTGACCTCACAAATGCTCTCCTGGAAGAATGGTCAAACATTCCCATAGACACACTCCTAAACCTTGTGGACCGCCTTTCCAGAAGAGTTGAAGCTGTTATAGCTGCAAAGGGTGGGCCAACTCAATATTGAACCCTACAGACTAAAACTGGGATGCCATTAAAGTTCATCTGCTTGTAAAGGTAGGCGTCCCAATACGTTTGGCAATATAGTGTTTAATAGTTAACTGATAGTTAAAGAAACCTTTGTTCAACTATCCGTACATATGTATCGATGTATACAAGCAAGCTGTGGTATTCACCCTTAAGAGGGAAACTGTAAGGCAACAAGCCCATATATCTGAACAGAGTTAAAACAAACAACTGGAGGCACATCAGAAAACAGCATGGTATATCCCCAAGATAAAAAAAACAGGATGGGGAAAAGGTCCACCATGAGAAAGAAAGAAAGAGAAAGAAAGAAAAGAAAGAAAGAAAAAGAAAGAAAGAAAGAAAGAAAGAAAGGTAAAGAAAGATGAAAGAAAGAAAGGTACCTCAGATGATATATGGAAAGTCTAGGCCCAATGGCGTGTACATTGCCTATCCCAGCTCTCAAGCACAAGAGCTCAGAATAACCTGCCACGAGCCCTCACCCCTTTCAACCCCACCAGAAACTTCATTTCTAGCCCCAAGGTATGAAGCTTTCTGTCAATACATTGCATGTGCTAGAAGCGTACAAGGGACTTCATCGTCTGCACTTGCAAACTCTGGAGTTGATTTATTAAAACTGTAGAGTGCAAACTCTGGTGCAGATGTGCATGGTAGCCAATTAGCTTCTAACTTTAAACCCTGGAAACTGATTGGTTTCTATGCAGAGCTTTTTCAAGCTCCAGTTTTACTAAATCAAAAGTGTGTTACACTGTGCATGTCCAGGCCATCCCAGAGACAGTACTGGAAAGTAAAGCAGGATGCATGCAAGAAAACTACCATCATTCCTTGGGATGCCAAAAAAACCCAGAAACTCAGTGCCAAGAGATTAAAATAAATAAAAATTAATCAATTGCAATATAGAAACTCAAAGTACAAACAACACACAGTATAGACATATCATATAATGATATTAAGAGAAAACCACTTGATAGCATATCCCAATTATTTAATCTTACATTTATCTTTTAAAAAGGGATCAAAACCATAAAGCAATTATCTCAAGAGAACAGAAATAGGATAAAGCTGAGTTACTCATTGAAGCTAGGAAGAATATTGATCCTTAAATCATAAATCCATTTTGCATCTTTGTAAAATCTTCTTCTTAAAGTCACCTCCTCAAGGATTAGGGAGAATCCTATCAAGGGCCAGAAAAGTAGGTTATCTGTTTTATACCCATATTAAAGGCAAAATGCTTTCCTATGGGTTCGTTTTGCCACATAGTAGGCACCAGGTGGACATATAGGGAGATATATAAAATAATAAAGTGCATCGCTATAAAGACACATCACATGAGTAATGTGAATATCACCATTAATAATATATACTCAAAAAGAAAAATATAAAGTGATAAAATAACAAATGTGTGAGAAAAGACCAACAAATCTGTTATAGAGACTCTTTTCAAAGTCCATATATAGTGATGGAAAACCATAAAAAGTGTTAAAGTGCAAAAAAACTTTTTAGTCAGAGTAAATAAAACACCACCAAGTGTTTTGCAAAGAGTTTATGTATGAAAAGCTCCGGCCAGTGATGACACAGTGTACCCGATCCAGAACACACACAACAGCTTCTTACTAGAAGAGAATGACCCCTGTATGAACAGATAAGTCAGGCAGTGCTTCAGAGGATTACAAAATCTAATCCAGCATCTAACCTCCTCTGGCTGGTGAATGCAAAGAACATGCTTTCAAAGTTGCTCAAAAACAAAATGCAAGAGATACTTCCATAGTGTAGAACTGTTGGACAAAATGTATTGAAAGATAGAAATAACACAATCTTTAAATGACAACAGGCACAGAAATTATATCAGATGTGGCATTCCTATGGGTTGCTGCAGGTCAGACATAAGCTCTCAGTCAATCAGGCTCCGTGTCTGTGATGACATCATCATTTGTAGGCCCCACCCTACGCGTTTAGTCAGACATGACGTCGTCTTTAGGATGAGCTGAAAAGCATACAACTGGTTTTGCATCACTTTTTATGGACTTTGAAAAGAGTCTTTATAACAGATTTGTTTAGTCTTTTCTCTCACCTTTGTTTTTTTTATCACTTTTTATAGTATATATATCATTCATGGTGATATTTATATTACTCAATTTATGTGTCTTTATAGTGCTGCACTTTATTCTGTTAAGTTTTTGAGTTTATGTATCCTAACTCTTAGTGCTGGCAGCTTCTGCTGTTTTACCGAATCGCAGTGTTGTTCTTTTATATAAGAAGATATATCACACCAATAGTTTGACAGTTTTTACAGTTTCTCAGGCTATATCAATGTTTATCCAGAAGTGCCTTTTGTTAGTGCAGATAAATTTACAGTGAGCGCATCTCTCACATTTGAACATGCCATGCATTAACCAATTGGTAGTAGCTGTAAAATGCCTAGGTACTAGATGGTTATGGAAAGAAGGACATTTAAAAAAAAAAAAAAATGTCTTTTATCAATACATATGGAAAAAAATCTGTCATTTCAGAAAAAATAAATACTAACGTTTCATGAAAGGTAGAAGTTTTAATTACTACATTTCTTAATAATCAATGTCTTCTCCCATTCACCTGATTGTTTTTTCTAATATAGTAGCAAATCTGGGGCTAATTTTAATGCATTTGTATCTATGTTTAGGAGATTTTTCACCATCACCTCAGGCTAACAGATGGATCTGTAACTTTTTTCCATTTACTACTTAATACAAATGTTATTAAACCAGAGCATATACATAACATATACAGTGCATTCACCAATGAAAGACAATGGTGATTAGAAACAGGGAATATTATTTACTAAATCAGTAGAGAACATTCACTTAGCGAAGGGATTAATTTAAGATTTTTTTTTTATGGGTACAGAATCATGTAGGGAAATAAAAAAAAAAGACAGCACCTTACACATAATTTGATTACTAAACTTATACTATCTAGTAATAGCTTTGATACCCTTCCTGAATACTCCTATTCTTGCTCCTCTGATCATGCTGCACTATTCTTCAAAATCTTTCCTGTCTGTCTCCGTTCCTTCCATCAGACTAGAAAGTGATGGTAAATCTCTCCAATGAGAACACAGACAAAAGAAAAACACATTTTGTTGTAGACTGAGGTGCAGAATCATTTTCTTCCTTCATTAAAAGAGCCAGCAGGAATAGGTTCTATTCTGACATGTTTCTTGCCAGGCACAGCACTCTATCAGAGAGACAAACTGAGTAAGTGCTGTGCCTAGTTTGAAACGTGTCAGAATAGAACTTGTTCCTGCTGGATCTTTTAATAAAGGAAGAAAGTCATTTTTCATCTCGGTGTGCAGCATTCCTTTTCTTGGTACAGTCGATTGTTTCAGTAGAGACAAGCCAAGCCAGCACCTGAAATGTAATTGTGGAGTGTGGAGCCTGATTTCGCCTTGAGCAGCATGTGAAATATTTGAAATTTTTTTTTGAGTTAGGAAAGAAAAGAAATGTTTCTGAAAATGTCTGATTGTTGTCTAAAAAATAAAAACATTATATGAATATAGTTTCTCATTACATGTAACTCTTCATGAATAAGAGAATAGATTCTCTGTTGTGCAATTGTGAATGATTTGTTGTCACTTCTTAGCATTAGTAAACACCCTGGGGTTGATTTACTAAAGGCAAATAGGCTGCTCACTTTCCAAGGGAAATTTTACTTTGCAAAATAATTTTCTCCAGAGCTTAGTCAATGAAGTGAAGCTCTGCTGACTTCTAACATCCAATCATGTGCAAGCAAAAATGCTGTTTTTTTTTATAATTTTTCCTTGCACGCGATTGCTCCCTTGCAAAGTGAGCAGCCTGTTTGCCTTTAATAAATCAACCCCTCTGTGTTGTTATATTGGACTACCATGAGTGTATATTTGTGATCTAACATAGAAAATTATATTTTGTAGGTTATTACCGCCAATACACTCAGGAGCCTGTAATGTTTGGAGAAATAGGTTTTGGAACGCCTCATAATTATGTTGGTTGGTATGAATGTGGTGTGCCCATACCTGGAAAATGGTAATGGTTTTACCAAGAAGCTGGTGCTGCTTCGTGGATATACTATACAATAATGTTTTAAAGAACTGTGCTGAAAGAAAAGGACAAAATATCTTGACAGATCTTCAAGCATCAAGACCAAAAGACTAGATACTGTGTGAAACTGAAATATGGTGCTGCTTCCAAATTGTCTGAGAAGCACAAGTGGAACCCTGCTTTTGTTCATGCGGTGGCCTGGATACAGCCCACTCACCATGAAACACCCTTGGATCAGAATACAAACTTTGTGTAATCCTATAACTTGCAAGGACTACCTAAGCTTGCTGTGCGTGCTTACTTGTGAGTTAAATATTGACTGTTTTTTACATGGAAGTCTTTATCGTTCACCAATGGCAGACCATTGTGCGCTTCAGAGTTACACATTGCAATCACGCTTACTTTATTAGTAATCATCCAATATAGAAGAATCTACTTTTGAACAAGCACTCACTGGGCTATTCCTAAGGACAGTCTGAATTTATTGTCTTGTTGTCTTATCCCGAATTCATACTTGTATGCACTAGTGAAAATAGGAATAAATGGTTGAGATTCACAGTGTTTACAGTTCACATATTTTTGAGACCCTTAACACTCTGTGCTTATAATGCAATTCCTGTTTCTAATTAGCATAGATGAACCATATGAAAGGAAACTGATCTGGTTGGTATGGTTGACACAGACATATCCTTTCAGATACACTTTGAAGCTTACTGATGTCAGTTAGTGATGTGTTGTTCCAAAACAATGAGGTTGTTTTACTAAAGGCACATTTACTGTGCACTTTTTAAGTGCATCTGCACTCATTTTCCCCAGAGCATATTGAATGTGGTGAAACTCTGTTGATTTCCCTCATCAAATCATGTGCAAGTAAAAATTCTGTTTTTTATATTTTCGTTGCACCTGATTGGATATTTTTAAAAAGTGAAGCTTCACTACGTTTACTAAGCTCCAGGAAAAAATAGTGCACATTCACTTGCAAAGTGCGCAGTCTTTTTGCATTTAGTAAATCACCCTCTAAGTGTGCATGCCACAGTGTGTCTTTTCAGTTTGGCTCTGTGAAGGTCATTCTACTAAGTATGCCCTTAAAACTATTGGTTCTAAAGGGCTACTATGCATTTACAAGCAAAGTGAATTAAAAGTGTCCATATCAGCCTAATCTGCTTTCTTTGAGGAACCTTCTGTGCTCATAGCTAGGAATGAGCAAATCTACCTTATTTTTGGTTAGCAAGCAGGTTCAAGATTCTAGCTTGCAGTTCTTAAACCTTTGCAACTATATGCCTAAGACGCAGTGCCCACACCAAGGGACCTCTGTATATACCACGGTCCTACTTCTATAATTTGCAGAGTCTCCATAGTAGGAGCACATGTATCAATGGATAGGTTGAGGGCAGGTGTGCCTGGAGGGAGCCCACTCTTCCTTAAAGGCACAGTGACACGTGATTCCCAGCAATAGCACAATGGCAGCAAAGGCATCTAGTGTGTCCCTGAACCCAATTCAACCAACCGAACAAAAAAATGGCAATTGCCCCAATCTATAACTAGCCTTTACATCAAGGTGCACATGCAAGGACAATGCACAGCACAAACAAACAAAAGATTTCCCAGCACACTTGCCAGCCAGCCTGCAGAACAACCAAATTGCACTAACAGTTAGACAGGGTAATTTGGTTGTTTTGCAGGCTGCGTAGTAAGTGTGCTGGGAATTTTGTGTTTGTTTGAGATCTGCGGTGCCGTTTCATGTGCACCTTGCTGTCAGGGCTAGTAATAGGTTGGAGTGGATGCCATTTTTTTTTTGTGCAGTTCTTAAACCTTGCAGCAAACCCCATTGAAGTTGATAGGGGGAAATCTTGTTATTATAGCCATTCTGAAATTTTGCCTATTTGTAGGGCTAATAAGCAAGCTATTGTCAAACAAAATACATGGAAACAAGGGCACTACTATGGGGAAACTGTGAATCCAAGGGATTCAGAGTGAACTCATAGGAGTGGCAACCTCATCTTGTTAAGAATCTATTGGCCACTAAAGATGACTTTTGAGTAAGCCATAGAAGCAATACGCATTCTTCAGGTTCATCTCAATAACTAAAGCAGCCAAGCACTAGCTCACACACATAGGAAGTAACTTCTGAATACACTCTGAGAATGACAAATATATTTATACACAAACTTAAGTTGTGAATTTCTAGCAGCAGAGAACTTGCAAGCGAAATGTACCATTGGAGCCAGAGCAAGCAAATGACCCCCATTGGAACTTTTATTTTTGCACTCAAAGGTGGTACTTTGGTCAGCAGTTTTGAGAAAAACAGAGCTTTTGTGTTTAGGTGTTTTACAGTCACCAGTCTGTTCACCCTCAACAAATGTGGCATTATATTATATTTTGATTAATTGATTAAAAAAGTGAGATCTCTCTTTGAAATTGCATGGTATTGGTTCACTGTATAGTGACATCATACAGTTTACTTTTGATCTAGAAAATCTAACAGTGTTGTATAAAGATACAGTATAATTGTATTCCTGTAGCTGCAATACATCCTTTATATTTGTGCATGTAATGAAGACAGCTCTTGGAATCAGCATCCCAATATAATTGTAAAATGTAAGCCTCATAAGAAAGTGTGCTTTTCTGCTATTTATAATTTTGAAATAATATACTATATGACCAGTGAGCAATAATTATTAAAATGATTTTTTATTAGATTTCAAACTGGATTTGAAATCAATTTGGTTAATATATAGGACAAATAAATGACACAAAAGTAATGTATAACCCCAAGTTCTAATTTGTTATCTTTTTGTAAAAAAACAATATATAAAGGATACATAGGCTAATTCATTTGCTGTGAAATTATTTGCTGATCTTGTTGAAAGGCTATGCATAATTTTATCCCACTGAAGTATGCATTCTAACAGCTTTGGATTTACTTTGCAAAGAGAATGACTTAAGTAATGGCCATTTTGAAAGCTACTATGGTATAGTTTCTTATGCACTAATCTAAGCCATATGCGACTTAGTTTTGTAATGTACCATCTGTGACTGTTCTCCTGTTCAATGTCTTTTTGATAAACATTTCTGTACACCATTACAGTGTTTGTTTTCAGTAGTAGAGATTGTCTTGTGTTAGGTTTACCCTGTAGCATATTTTAACAAAGCACTCAGAACTACTATTAAAAAAAAGCACTGTATTAACTATAGGAAGGTTGCAGTACGTTAATAGTAACAGTTTTAATAACTCTTCAGTTTAAAAACACTAAATACATTCTAGGTGCTTAAAAACAAAATGTGTGTAAAGTCTTATATCTTATTTTCTTTAGGAAGCTGCCACAGTGGAAAAGCCAGTCTAATGCTAGCATATATAGCAGTGTTTCTCAACCTTTTTTCAGTCAAGGCACCCTTTAAAATGATGGACAGTCCCGCAGCACCCTTTAAAATGATGGACAGTCTTGAGGCACCCCATTCTACAATGTGAAAAACTATTCTAATAGTTTTTATATAATGCAGCAACATCCACACATGTAGGACACTCAACGTTAGAGGTGATTTATTCTTCCAAAGCAAATACACTTTTGCGTACTAGTACTGAATAGTATTCCAATGTTTCTCTTCTCCCTCATTTTCTATTCATCACTGAGCTAATGTGGCCCCAGCACTGGTAGAGAGGGGCAGGGGAGGGTCAAAAAAGGATGCTGTACAGGCAGCTGACATCCTCCTTATCAACTGATGATGTCATTGGTTGTCAGGACGCCGGTGGTTAGAAGGTCATAATGGTGCACAATGAAAAACTGTGTCTTTGCATAACTAAAAGGCAGGGTTGTTCCACTCGCTGGCTTGTATACAAGTTATGGGCAATTTTTAGACATTTTGCCAAGGTGCCCCTGAAGAAACCCCAAGGCACCCCAGGGTGCCTGGGCACCCTGGTTGAGAAAGGCTGCTCTATAGAAGCAAAGGTTCTTTCTACAGAGGTCTGACACACCCCTGTAAATCCGAGGTAGATTTTTCTAAGTAGTAGTGTGCATGAGGCTTGCTCGTTGCAGAACTATACTGTAAGTCTGACTCAGCAGGGGGTGCGTCAGACCTCTTCGCAGAGACCATTGCTTCCACACAAAGAGTAAGGGCCGCTATCTACAGTATACTGGCATGGGATAGGGTTTACTATTTAGGTTGTGGTTGCTTTTTTAGAGAAAATGAGCTGCAAGACCTTAAAACCCTTTTTGTTTATGCCCCTGGAATGTATTTAGCTGATTTAATCTAAAAGTTCAATTGGGATTTAAGTGGTGCAGACTGTGTTGAAGGACACAAGTCTATAAATGTTTTTAATATAAATAGGCTGTAAAACATATTCCATGTTCACACCTACCCCTACTTATTTTATATCTTGTGGATATAAATGAGTCTAGTATGAGGTTAGTAATATTATAGTTATAATAAGTATATGATATTATATATGTAATATTGTACCCCCTATTGGCTAATTACAATGATGTTATGATGCAAAGAAGGGTACAGCCATCATAAAAATGCTTAAATGGGTTGAGATCGCAGAACTGGTTAACATCTGTGTAATCATGCTTATTTATTTAACAATATTATTTGAGGAGTATTAGAAACTAGAGAAAATGTTGAACAGTTGCCAATAGCAACTAATCAAATCCTTTTATGCATGTAAAAAATAATACCTAAAATTGTGCTGGTAAGTAGGATTATTTTGAATAATAATTACAATGTTAGGCAGTGTGAAAAGTCGATATTGTTTAGAAAGACATTATATTCAGGAATGGCCTTAGGCAAACAAATGTTTTTGCATTATAATATGATTTGTATAGTAGACTTGGATGATAAATTTAAAATACAACTATACAGATGAGTGGAAAAGTCTGGGAACAGGGTGAGAACTGTGTGTCGCTTGTCTACAAACCT